TGGCCATCATTTTCCAGTCTTGCTATTAATTACCATCATAACACACAGGTGCGCTGGGAGGATGCTATCTGAAAAACACAGATCAAACTTCCTTCCAATTAAAGAAGTTTAATTGGAACTTCTTGAACATGAACACCTGTATTTAGCTCAGCTCTTTCCCCAAACCTCTCTAAATTTATGATAAAGGAATTTTTCTTAACAGCATAAACCAAAAAGAAGAGAAAAGAGCAACCAGTTTTTAAAAGTTAGACCACCGACGGACAGTGCTAAGTGGCAGAAATGAAGAAAAATCCTAAAGCTGTGCTGGAGAGAGCTAAGAAGCAACCTCCCAAAAGGTTCCAGGACTCAGCGACCCTGTGAACTTCAGAAACAGACGCAACAGTGGGAGTGAGAAGGGAAAGCTGGTTGAAAGGCTATTTGAGAACCTGTTACAGCTTCTCATCTTTCTCCACTTCTTCCAAAGTACCATGTTTGTTCTCTGGAGAAGGTCAAACAGCAGGGCTCAGGACTGGGCTGCCAGGCAGAGCTGAAGATGGGGTACTCCATCAGTGAGCTTTTGCTGCAGAGTAGTTACCCCAAGACTCAGAGGCTTAAACAAGCAAATAGTTATTAATTCTCATGATTCCATGGACAGACTGAAAAGTCTCTAGTATGACCTCGCTCACATGCCTCTTACCCTCCAGGGGAGTTAGCTGAGGCCTGTTCACAAGGTAACAGGAAAGGTTTCAGGAGCAAAAAGGCCAAGCCCCCAAAGCAAAAGCACTTTTCAACCCACTGATGACATGTTCCATTGGCAAAACAAGTAATATGATCAAGCCCAGAGTCAAAGACGCACTGCAAAACGTAGCAGGCACTTCTTTTCCATCTAGCACAGGAACAACACTGAAAATGGGAGAAATCAGAAGCAGGTTTATGTCTTGAATAACAACAGATGTCTTCTCACCCTCTTCTCCTATCTGGTTCCCAGGACATGGCAGCTATGCATACCCCTCCTAAAAGGGCACTGGGCAGTCTACTCTGGGAAACCTGACCAGTCAAAGGAAAGAAAAATGACCTGACTCCAGAAGTTCCCCCAAGATAAGGGCTTGGCAGACAAGTCGAGAGCAAGTACTACCCTCACCCTGAGAGCTGCTTTCCAATCAGCTTTTTCGTCTGCTAGTGTTCAAAACAAGCAGAAAGGTAAAGAATACCAGAATTAAGAGATGCCAGAATTAAAAAAAGAAAAGACCAAGCATTCTAACAATATTTGTCTGTGTTGGTTGTGACTTGACTATATCAGTCAAAACTCAGAATTACATGCTAAAAAAGGGTAATTTTTTTTTTTTTTTTTACCGCACCACATGGCATGCAAGATCTGAGTGCCCCAACCAGGGATCAAACTCATGCTTCCTGAAGTGTAAGTGTGGATTCTTAATCTTAACCACTGGACCATCAGGGAAATACCAAAAAAAAGAGTAAATTGTACTGTATGTAAATTATACTTCCAACAAACTGTAAACAACAGCAACAAAAAAGTTCTGAGGAAAGATAAGAGGGAGAAGAGACCTTAGAACAAAAACAAAAGCATTAATATCCTCAGGGAGCTTAGAGAAGAAACTGGAAAAATTGAACCCATAAAACAAACAAACAAACAAAAACCTACTCAGAGAACAACAAAAAGAGTTCTTACCTGAAATTAAACACATGAAAGCAAAGAAAGCTCAATAGAAGGGTTAGAAAAAGATAAAGCCGAAAAGACAAAAGGACAAAACAGGCCATGAGCACCAAGGACTTAACGAGGGTCCCAAAAGAAAGAACAGAGAAAACAAAAGAAAATCAAAGGAATAACAGGGAAAAGGAAAAATCCCCCAAATTGAAGATTGTGAATTTGTAGAATGACATGTCCCAACAAGCGCCCAGCACAATGGACAAAAATAAACCCACACCAAAGTGAAATTTCAGAACACGGGAGATAAAGATAACATAAGGGTGTAAGAGTTCAGAGAGAATGAAAAATAGACTTCATACAAAGGATCAAGAATCAATGGCACCGAGCTCCTCAATAGCAAATTGAAAGCCAGCAGACAGACAGAACCAAGAACTAAGAAATGATTTAGCAGAGATTTCTATACCCAAATACCTGAGTTCCAGAGAGGCTAGAATAAAGACATTTTCAGACATCCAAAGCGCCAAGTTTGCACCCCATGCACTTGGGTAGCTACCTGAAGTGGCAGTCCCCAGCCTTTTTGGCACCAGGATGGGTTTCATGGAAGACGATTTTTCCACAGGGGTGGGAGGTGGTTTTGGGATGATTCAAGCACATTACATTTACTATGCATTTTGATTACAATGTGATATATAATGAAATAATTATACAACTCACCATGATGCCACCACTGATCTAACAGGAGGAGAAGCTCAGGTGTAATGCAAGCAATGGGGAGCGGCTATAAATAGAGATGAAGCTTTCCCTGTTCGTAACTGGCCACGGACAGGAACCAGTCCATGGCCCAGGTGTTGGGAACCCCTGATATGACAGACGTGTTTCAGTAAAACTGAAGGAAACAAAACTAAAGGATGTAAGGGAGTAGTGAGGAAGAACAAGACCAAGGGACTGGATGATCCAAAACAAGACAGAATAAGTAAGTTCCTGAGCATGAAGGGAGACACCTCCAAGTCCACAGTAGGGTACAGCTGCTAGCAACCAGAGAACTAGGACAAAAAGATGAAAGTCATAGAGTGGAATATCCACTGGTCAGACAGGTGAGATTTTCCATGTAGCTAAGAGTTTGAGGCTGAATTAGTAAGAAGTATGTAGATAACCTGGCAAATGAAGAAAAAAAACAAAGACATGATTTACTTAACTTTTGGCAGAACAAAACAATGGGCAGGTAAGAAAGCGTAACCACAGCACACTGCACAGCTCAGCTGTAGTTTGGTCATCACCTTTCTGTAAGCACTCAGTAAACCTCACCAGAATATGACTGTCCTGAAGACTGGGAGAAGGATGTGTGAACTGTGGGAACAAGGAGGGAAGAGATAATCAAATGCTCATCTTCCTTTCACCCATTCAGTGTAGAATTATTACCTAAAGTTGAAAATAAAATGTAAATAGCAAGAAAGTATGTAGTTTCCAGATTCTGGAGCAAACATCCAATGAACTAAAATAGTTTTAAAAGTATGTCCACCTATGGGACTTCTCTGGCAGTCCAGTGGCTAAGACTACGAGCTCCCAATGCAGGGAGTCTGGATTCGATCTGTGGTCAAAGAATTAGATCCTGCATGCCACAAAGATCCTGCATGCTGTATTGAAGATCAAGGATCCCGACTGCCACAATTGAAACCCAGAACAGCCAAATAAATAACTATTAAGAAAAAAAAAAGTTCTTGCTTAAAGAGCAAGAAACAGTTGTGGTCGGGGGGGGGGGGGGGGGGGGGAACTAAGGGAGTGTTTTGCTTTTTAATTAAAAAAAAAAAAAAATTATTTGACACTTCAATCTACATGCATGTATAACTATGGACTTCCCCGGTAGTTCAGATGGTACAGAATCTGCCTGCAATGCAGGAGACCCAGGTTCGATCCCTGGGTTGGGAAGATCCCTGGGAGAAGGAAATGGCAACCCACTCCAGTTTTCTTGCCTGGAGAATCCCATGGACAGAGGAGCCTGGCAGGCTACAGTCCATGGGGTCACAAAAAGCTGGACACGACTGAGCAACTAATGTCATATACAACTTTAAAAATGAACACCAATGTCAAATAACTTATTAAATAAGAAAAATGCCAGATGGTCAATTCATTTGGGAAAAATGACACCCTTAGATGTTTTCAAAAGACCAAGGCAACCCATCACAACCCTTCTGACTTAGAGTATCTCCTCAGGACAGCCAGATTTCCAAAGCAAGAAAGTCCAGGTAAAACCACTTCCTTCCCAACCCAACATAAGAATTATGGTACTATCTTCAGTCCCCTGGGTGCCCACCTTGCTGGTCAGAGTCTCCAAGAGATTTAACTTCAAGGAAGCTCTGGCAGGACACACTATCCTAACTTCCTATCCTGTCTCCTCCTCCATTCCCCACTGACAGGCAGGGGCACACACCTGACTTAGAAGGAAACTTTTGCTGTTTAGTCACTCAGTCATGTCCAACTCTGAAACCCCGTGGACTATAACCCACCAGGCTCCTTTGTCCACGTGACTCTCCAGGCAAGAATACCAGTGTTGGTAGCCATTCCCTTCTGCAGGGGATCTTCCTGACCCAGAAATCAAACCTGAGCATCCCACATTGGCAAATGGATTCTTTACTACTAAGCCACAAGGGAAGCCCAAAAGGATACCGTCCTCTACCTTCAGCTCTGTCCCTTCACCAGAGCTACCTGCAGTGCTGAGCCTCCAGGATTGAGAGTTTCTTTACCCAAGTCCACAATGTCACAGGAGCACCAACCGCCAGCAATGCCAACCTTTAACCCCAGCTCATAGTACCTCCTCAATGAATTCAATGAGAGATGATACACACAACCTCCCTACAATGGCCAGGTGAGGAAAGGGGCTCTATCTGGGCACCTCCTTTCCCTCCCTTCCTGAAGTCTTCTTCCATATCTTTCCCTATATTTAATTGGCTCTGTTGCTTTCCTTCACCAGCCCCTACTATTTTATGGTCAAACAGCATTAGACAGGGACTCAAAATACTATCCCTGTATTACTAACACATCAGTTAATGCCCTATAGCCTGTTCTTTCATCTATAAATGGAGATAATACTTCTTGAGGATGGAGACCATGTGGTTATCTCTACATACTCCCCAATATACTAAAGATAGGCTAAAATATTCAGAGTAAATAAAGGAACACCTCTCTAAAACCATACTTCTGAGGAGCAATCTCCCATCAATTGACTACCCTCCTGCTGGCTCTCTCACCCGGAACCACCCTGGTGCACAACCCAGAGCCACACCCCCTCGTCCTCCCCCCCCAACCTGTATGATTCAGTGAAATGCCAAGATGGAGAAGGGAAAGCAGGACATACCTGGAAGGAGGTGGGAATACAGACGAGGTTCAGATTCTCTTGTTTCACTCTTTCAGCTGTGAAGACAAAAGCCATGTCGGTGGTTTTTCACTCTCCTCCCTTTATCTTCCTTGTCATACACACACTTGCTCAAAGCCAACAGAAAAGATCTAATCCCCACCACTGACAGGTGCCTTTCATTCCATGTCCCCTCCCTTGGTGAAAAGTTGGTAAACAAACTTTGCATGTCACCAGACAAGGACAAAAAATGCCTAAAGAGGTTAAGTACTAATCACGGAAAGAGAAACATCAGTGTTTGCTAGAATGTGTTTGGCATTATTCAAAGAACTTTTTACATATGAACTCTTTTAATCCAGGAACCCAAAGGTAACTTACAATTATTATTCCCACTTTAAAGATGAGGAAACAAGTGCAGAGAGACAAAAATAACTGGTAAGCAACTAACAAACAACAGAACTAAGATCTGATCCCAGGCAGTCTAGTGCCACAGTCTTAACTACTTCCCTATATTGCCTTTTACAGAGAAAAGCTAGAACTTGACTTCTCCATTTAGTAAAAAAAATATAATCATTTATAGACCCCAGAGGGCAGTTAAAAGAGGGTCTATTTATTCACTTAAAATTTGCACCTTTCCGGAAAGTTTGATTTAAACAAAAAGAAAAGTCTTACGAATTCCCTGGTGGCCCAGTGGTTAAGACTTGGCGCTTTCACTGATGGGGCCCAGGGTTCAGTCCCTAGTTGGGGAACTAAGATCCCACAAGCCACACAGTATGGCCAAAACCCAAAAAATCTCAAGGGATGCAGACAAAGAATGCCTCCTCTCATTTCAGTAAACAAAGGATGTCATCAATTCATGAGTCACTGCACCCACCCTAGGCAGTGCACCCTGAGAGGATTCAGGATGGAGAAAAACAGGACACTGGCCCAAGATTAAGGTGCACATCAAAGGGGTAATTTCATTAAGCCCAGACTCTTGCATCTTCCCATACACAGAAGAGAACTAAATTTATTAACTTGTGATGTCTGGTTTTTCTTTAAATAGCAGTAATCTTTTGACATTCGACTACTGGAGTTTTGTGGTGTTGTTTTTTTTTGCAAAAACTCCTACATGTCCTGGCTTCTCAACAGTCCCTCAGAGCTATCTGAAAAGCTGTATCCTGGGCTTAAGTCCTCAGTAATGCCCCAGCAGGGGAAAACTGTCTTATTAAAAATATCAAATCTCAAAAAAAAAAAAAATCAAATCCCTTCAGTCACTGAATGTGCACCTAGGGAGGTTTAGATGCCACTAGTACAAAATCTACAGTAATCCCTGTGCCCTAAAAGCCCCCCACACGCACACAGTGCTGAGGCACAAGGGTGTACCACGCTGAGGCCCTGTTAGGCTAATGAGAAGGCTTCCAGAAGCCAGCATGCCTGCACCACAATCATTCCTTCAAGACAGAGCGTTCCGGAGCTTTGTCCCCTGAGCGCAGCCCCTCGGCACCGGGCAGAGGAGAGTAGCATTCAGGAAAGCCTCTCCTCTGGGCTGTTCTCACAAACACGTGCAGGGCCGTCAAACCTGTTGAGCAGCCACCGAGGCTGATAGTTCCTGAGCCCAGAGACACCCAAATCCAAATGAAGTCAGCACCTGCGGAGCCAGCAGCCACCAACTGCAAGGTCACATCCATGCCACAGTCACAAATAGGTCAAGCCTGGGCTGACCTCGATTTGTGTGCCTGAGGGACCTCCAGCTTGAAAGGGCTTGCCTGCTGCAGGATCCATGAGGCCACACACACATACACACACACACCAATGATGACAATTACGGTTCCATGGAGAACACACACAGACAGACACAGATACACACAGACACACACAACTCGTCTCAAGTCAGCTCCTCACCTGCAGCTCAGCAGAGCAAAGAAAGCCAGGGTAACCCCGAGAGTTGGGTGACAGGGCCTAAGAATAGCACTTAGAGGAGGACAGAAATACTCACCTGACTGCAGGCTCCACACAGCTGGCACCTCGCTGGGCAGATGCCCAGCCAGTGCCCACTTCCTACTTCTCCTCTATATCCCCTCCCCCACTGTCCTACACAAAACATCGAGTTGGCCCCGAGAACACACCTATTCGCTGCACGGCATGGACAATTGTAGAACCGCTCCCGATTCCCAGCACTTGGTTATTCTGCAAAGATAAAAAAAGAAGAGGGAAACTTTATTAATACTGTATTTTACTCCCTCTCCAGCGCCCTTTCTAGAGCTATAAAATTATAAGGAATAGCAATTCACTGACATGGGCACAAAGCAGGTACTGTGCCCACAGAAATACAATCACCGAACCTCCAAGCTGGACTTTGTTCTGGTGCCCAGGGGCAACAGAGAGCCCTCAGCAGAGGGCTCCTCCTTCCATCCTTGACAATGCCGCTACAATTTCCTCCTCTTCGAAGATAAACTGAGGCAGATTAAAAGTTTAAGATTTTATTTCAGCAAAAAATCAACTCGAACTGGGCAGGATTCAACCTAGCAAACAGAACAGATCTCTAAGAAGCTGTGTAAAATTAAAGACTTTTATAGCAGGAAGGGAGCAGGAAATAAAGCTGCTGTGGGCTAAAAGGGAGTTGGTCTCTGTCAGGTGAACTCCCTGCAGGGGGTGGCAGGGGTCTCCCCAGCAGACGGCCTCACTAGTGCTGACCAAGCGAGCCTGGACTGGGTGGGCTAAGATTCCATTTCTGGGGGAGCCAAAAGCATAATTAAGTATCAGTTTGGTGATGTGGGGCTTGGCATAAGCAGCTCCCTTTGGGGCCTGTTATCTTATTCTTAACATTCCTCATATTCTACCACACAGAAATGGCCTAAAGATGAGCACTGGAGGATTTCTGGTCAATTCCAGGAGAGGAATCAGGAGGACCCTAGGGAAACAGAGCCTCACTATAATGTACATTAAGAGCAGAAAACAGAGGTTTCTGACCTCGGTGACTTTTCATACCCCTCCCCACATTGTAGATGCCAAGTTTTAACATCCACAAGGCAGGGGGCTGACCAGTCTCCTTCAAGTTGGTGGCATCACAGCAAACCTCAGACACACATCAAGTCTACCATCCAGAGCTCCAACCAAAGCCAACAGGAGAGAGGAGAGTCTGAAGCAACCTTGAATATCAAATCACATCAAGGGATCCTCATTTCGTACAAGTTTGCCTCAGAGAATATGGGGGAAGGGGGAAGGCGGAGCTGGGAACATGAGAACAGTCTTCATCTGGTGGCCATATAGGAAACCATGCATGAGTACAAAGGAGGAGAACCGGGCATCACACTCCTGAGCCTGTCATTGTAAGAAAGGGGGAAGGGACCTGAGAGCAGAGCAGGGGCCCAGCCGAGGTCGGTCAGATCACAGACAGCGGAACGAGGCCAGGGTGCTAGCAGGAACTCATGTGGAGCTTGGTTCCTAAGCAACTTCCTGGGGGTAATCTCTCCCCTGTTTAGGGCAGAACAGCTACAGGCCAAAGGAGCAGCTATCATCTACTAGGCACCTACAAAGATTTACAAATGTTGATAAAAGGTGAATCTCACAACAATCCCTTGTGACCTCAAAGCCCTTCAGAGGTAATTCAACACCCAAGGGAAAATAGATAGGCAAAGAGTGGAAACAGTGGCAGACTTTATTTTGGGGGGCTTCAAAAATCACTGCAGATAGTGACCGCAGCCATGAAATTAAAAGACACTTGCACCTTGGAAGAAAAGCTATGACCAACCTAGACAGCGTATTAAAAAGCAGAGACATTACTTTGCCAATAAAAGTCTGTCTAGTCAAGGCTATTGCTTTTCCAGTAGTCATGTGTGGATTTAAGAGCTGGACTATAAAGAAAGCTGAGTGCTGAAAAACCGATGCTTTTGAACTGTGGTATTGGAGAAAACTCAAGAGTCCCTTGGACTGCACGGAGTTCCAACCAGTTCATCCTAAAGGAAATCAGTCCTGAATATTCACTGGAAGGACTGATGTTGAAGCTGAAACCAATACTTTGGCCACCTGATGCGAAGAACTAACTCATTTGAAAAGACCCTAATGCTGGAAAAGATTCAAGAGGGGAGTAGAAGGGGATGACAGAGGATGAGATGGTTGGATGGCATCACCAACTCAGTGGACATGAGTTTGAGAGAACTCCAGGAGATGGTGATGGACAGCGAGGCTTGGCATGCTGCAGTCCATGGAGTCGCAAAGACTGACATGCAAAGATTGTCACTTGGACAAGACTGAGCAACTGAACTGAACTGAAAGCGAAAATTTAAGACTTAGAAATGAGCAAGAGATTATTAGATTCTTTCAACGAAATGCTGGAATCTGCAGGCATTATCTGATCCTACAGGGGAGTGTGCCCCTGCAAATTCTTGCCCACTGAAATGCAAATTGCTTTGTGAAATCCAACTAATTATCCTATAGCTCTTGTTCAGTCCTTCTAAGTCCGACTCTATGTGACCCCATGGACTACAGCATGCCAGGCTTCCCTGTCCTTCACTACTTCCCAGAGTTTACTCAAACTCACGTCCACTGAGTCAGTGATGCCATCCAACCATCTCATCCTCTGTTGCCCCCTTTCCTGCCCTCAACCTTTTCTAGCATCAGAGTCTTTCCAATGAGTGAGCTCTTTGAATCAGGTAGCCAAAGGACTGGAGCTTCAGTATCAGTCCTTCCAATGACTATTCAGGGTTGATTTCCTTTAGGATTGACTGGTTTGATCTCCTGGTATCCAAGAGACTCTCAAGAGTCCTCCAGATTTATAAGAGTTCTTGTAAATTTACTTAAACATTCCCTGACTGTATATAATTCTGTGGTTCTTTGGGTTTTCCTGTGAACAGTCTGGGCTTCCCAAGTGGTGCTAGTGGTAAGGAACCCACTTGCCAATGCAGGAGACGTAAAAGACATGGGTTCAATCTCTGGGTCGGAAAGATCCTCTGGAGAAGGCCATAGTAACCCACTCCAGTATTCTTGCCTGGAGAATCCCACAGACAGAAGAGCCTGGTGGGCTACAGTCCAGAGGGTCGCACAGTGACAGACATGACTGAAGTGATTTAGCAGTGAACAGGTTATAGCATTTTTTTCCAGTTCCCTCAATTGAATGAGTCAAATTGGGGGGGGGGGGGAAACCCTCTGATAATGTTATTTTATATCTATATTAAGTATCATGATTTTACCTTTAAAAAGAAAGTCATTTTTTGACAATATTAATTACTCCCCTACACAGCCTCACCCTGAATAAGCAACTTCAGGAAGTTCAATTTGCTGAAACATTTCAATTAAAATTTCTTAGGGTTCCAGCAACTGATTAACAATGAACTCATTTGGCAAGGGGCAGGGGGGCCCTTTGTTGGAGGAACAAAGGTCCTGGAGGCCCCTTGGGACAAACTCCCCACAGGACACATGCCACAGGAAACTCCAGGGCGAGCCCGTGGACCCCACTGCTAACACAGTCCTTCTCAAAGTGAGGGGACAACTCTAGCAAGAAAAGACTGTAAAGAATGAAAGGTGGAGGGAGTTACAAAAAAAAGAACAAATCAAACGCTAATGTCCCTGCTTCTAACTGGGCCTCTCCTACCTACAGAGGGCTCTGCCCATCAACCCCTGTGTTCCTGATCTGATGGAAGTCACTTTTACTGGCTCAAAGGTTACCAAATAACACCAAGAGGCCTTATAATGGAGCTCGTGTTAGGTCAGGAATCCACCCATGGTGGTGCTCTCACAAAGGTAATGCATCCACCCGCTGCTTAGCTACCTGGGCAAACCTCAACACCAAGGTCTTCAAGACCAGTAAATGCTACACTACCACACAAAATAGATGAACATCAGAAAAATGTAAAAATCTTCAAGTAACAGGAAATGCCTTAACTAGGGGGTTTCCCTGAAGGTACAGTGGCTAAACAATCTGCCTGCAATGCAGGAGACACAGGACACGCTGGTTCGATCCCTGGGTTGGGAAGATCCTCTGGAGGAAGAAATGGTGATGCACTCCAGTATTCTTGCCTGAAAAATCCCAAGGACAGAGGAGCCTGGTGAGCTACAGTTTGTGGGGTCGCAGAGTCGGACATGACTGAGTGCATGCTCCCAACAAACTAAGTAAACAGGGAAATGCCTTGACTGGGCAGGCTCCACGTGACCATCACACCTGACGTGAGGCTGAGAGCTCCAGCTTCACAGTAACTCAACTGCCAGATTCCTCACTTCCCCACTCTCCTGTCACCCAGCAGGCAGGCGGCATACGAATGAACTTGGGTGAGTCACACAAGCTTTGTGCAAGCCTCCTCCCTTGGCTTGTTTTTTGGTAGAGGCCAAGAATTGCGCAGACCTGTCAGGCCCAAAGCTCTTCAGCCCTGTGGTCTTGCTGCCATGGAATCCAATGACTGGCCAGGAATCAGGATAACAGCCAAAGCTATACAGAGGTGGCCCAACAGTGGCCAGGCAGGCTCCACCGGAGGAGCAGGCAGCTCCTAAGGGCAACACTAAACCACAGGTCATATGTGCAACATCACAACTTGGCTCACCATGTCCAGTGGGGTAACCTCTTCTGTTGACCTACTGGAACTATTGTCCACCAACTTCTTCAAGCTCAGCCAGCCAAAAAGGAAAGGCCAGGCTCCAAAGAGAACAAAGGAGGTTACAGACCTTCAGGAGAACGTGGCCTTGCGTGGTGACCTGTCCTGCGCCAGCAGACCTGAGTCAAGGGTCGCTACCTAATCCCTTCAGTAGAGAACTCTCCAAAATTTCCATTTACCCAGGAATAGAAGTAGTCACCACACTGGAGCACCAAAGGGCTCGGGAAGGGAAACCCTAACACCCCAGTGATTCACCCTATAACCTCCATATTTGTGTCCACACGCCACACAGCTCATCAAACATTTAGTAGGCAGGTCCCACTGTGACTAACGTCGAATGAAAATCAAGTTTACTACCTTCCAGAAGTTTACCCTTCATGGAATTGGGACACACACATAACTAGACCATAAAACGTAAAGCACCTACGAGGTATGGAGGACTACAGAATTTAAGGGAAGAATTCCTCCCCTTACAAGGCTAGGGAAAAACTGAAAGGAAGAATGGCCTTTGAACCAAACCCTGAAGGACAGAGTTTTAACAGACAAGAGCAGCAGATAAGAAAGAGCATTCTAGGTAGAGGGTAGTGACATTAAAACACAGCCACGCCAGCAGTCTGTTCCTTCCAATGTTCTGTCCCTGGGAGAGAGGAGAGCAGAGAAGGAAACAAGACTGTGCGCTTAAGGACAAGAATCAGAGCCTCTTATCCGTGTATCCCTTCCACCTGGCTCATTGTTACTGGCTTGTAACAGATGTCATACGGAGGTTAGGATGAGGCTAAGAGCAGAAGGGAGCTTCAGCAGATGACAATGCATCACTTGGCTGGTCAGAAGAGGAGACAAGACAAGGGCAACTGCAATCTTCTGGCCACAGGGAAAACCTAAACAGGGGAAGTTGGTCCACAGGAAGGGTCAGTTCTAAGAATATTCCAAACGTGGAACAAATAGGACCTGGCACATAAGCTACCTTAATAAACTTACACAAAGTATGAAACTGAGCAGGCCCTTGTCCCCTGTTTGTTGTTTGTAGGAAACCAGCTTCATACAGCCTCCTTGACCTGCCCTGAGTTCCAAAGGGCAGATACAAGCAGTCACTATTCAGGTAAGGGAAGGAATGCAGAAGCAAGAGAGGAGCAGTCAAGAAACAAAGTGCTGTGAGGCAAGGTCCTGGTTCCTCCTCAAGGAATATTCATGACAACACATATCTGAGTTCTTCCACAGGAACTAAGGCCCCACCCAAGTAGAAAACTGCTAACCACCACAAAGTTACCCCACCATCAGCCAATCAGAAGAAGGTCTACACACAGTGGAAGATAAGACTCTGACCCCCTCCCTAAATGATTAACTGCAATCAACATCCCCTTTCAGCTTAGGAGTAGGTTCTAGAAGTCCGCCTTCTCTCCAGGTTGCCAGCCTCCAGAACAAAGCAATCTTTTCTTTCCAGCCAACACTTGTCTTTCAAGGGGTGAGCAGTCAAATCTGAGTTGGGTAACAAGGAAACCATTTCAAGACACAAAGTGCTAAAGGAAAATTTAGCCTTAGATGGAAAAAAAAGGATAACCCTGGAGAGGGCTGCTAAACCTTGACAATCAGGTACAGGACTATGATCAATAAACTTGTCTTGGAATTAAGTAATCTTGTTTGCAAAATATCCGGGATCAGCATCTCCTCCCTTTAGCCACATCTCTGGCCTCCACACCAACTACCTGACACCTAGCAGGCTCTCAACAATTTCCCAGCAGCAACAGGAATGAAATGGATGAATCAGTGGTAAAAAGTGCTAAATACAGGCCCTCCCCGGTGGCTCAGTAATAAAGAATCCACCTGCCAATGCAGGACATAGGTTCCATCCCTGGTCCAGGAAGATCCCAGTAGAGCAACTAAGCCCGTACGCCCCAGCTATTGAGCCTGTGCTCTAATACCTGGGAACTGCAACTACTGAAAATGTGTGCCCTAGAGCCCATGATCTGCAACAAGAGAACCCACTGCAATGAGAAGTCTGTACACTGCAACTAGAGAGTAGCGCCAGCTTACCACCAACTAGAAAAACAGCTGGAGCAGCAACAAAGACCCTGCACAGCCAAAAATAAATAATAAATAAAATCATTAAAAAAAAATCCAAATAGTGTTGACATCTCAGGAAAGAAGTCTGCAAAGGAAAATGGTATTAACTGAGACTGGGGTGAATGCCAAAAGGCCAATGGAAATCTCCCCAGGATTGTCTGGCAACTTCAGGGCAACAGGTGGCTGGGGGCTCTGGCCTGAGGTGGCAGCTCGCAAATTTTTATTTAACCAAATAGATCATTAAAAAAAACAATGGTAGACAGTGCATATGCAAACTGGGGGAATCTCCTCTCCCTTCTCTCCCCAGTTGTGGCCCTGGCCAGGCCATGCTACACTAACCTCACCTTCCCCTCTCACTCGTCCTCCTCCTTCCCCCCTTCTCCTGCCTCCGTCCCTCCCCTCACCTCCTTCTCCCTTCCCCTGACTTCCACCCAGGAGGAGGAAACTTCACATAGCTGTGCTCACAGTTTATTATTTTAAATAAATTTGGTTGGGGAGCTGAGGAGGGCTCCCTGAGATCTGAAGAAAGCTTTTGGTGCTTGTCCTCATTACCACCTTGACCTTCCCTCCATGTCCTGCCCTGTCTCCTTTCCTCCTCCTGGGTTCATGTTGTAATAAAAGAAGATTGTTGGTGTGTTAAAAAAAAAAAAGTCAGGAAAACATAATAGTAATGGGATAATAGGAAATCTAACATACAGGCCTTTTCTATTTGTATAGATTTCATTTGCCCATTACCATTCACTTTATCAAGGCATTTGAAATTTCAGCTGATTGTCCCAATGTTGCAGCTGAGACACTGAATCCCAAAAGGAGAGCCAGATGACACATTCTACATTATCTCTGTTAATTCCCATAGAAATTCCTATTGCTAACCAGACTATTACACCAGAACAGGGCAGCTATGTAACTGGGGGAAGGGAACTGGAACAGGAGTCACTGGGTTTGGGTCTGGGAGGATAATCGGTCATTCCTCCTACAGAACACTCTGAGCCACAGGTTACCACTCCGGCCCCTCCCATTTGGCCAGGCTGTAGGAGGATCCAACAAATCCAGCAAAATTACTTTATACACGAAAGCATTACCAAATGTAAAGAATAAAGAACCATTATTAGAGAAAAGAGAATCTGATACCACTTTCCAGAAAGCAGAAAACACTAAAAGCCAATGAAGCCCAGGAAACTCCACCTAAGAGCAGAGATACTCCACTTGGCTCCCGGCTCCCAAATTCTTACAATTAAGATAATTGATTGTTGACGGCAAATCCAAAGGACTCCACCAAGAGGACCACACCCGCCACTTAGCCAACAAGTGAGGTCACGACCTCACTGACATTACATTACGACCTCACATTAACAGCTAAACATCTCCACATCCCGACCTTAAAGAGGATCTCGACTTCAAGTGTCCACCCGAGCCCTGCCAAAAGAAGGAGGTTTAAAGTCTTTGGCACCTCCGCTTTCCTCCGGCAAGTACTCTCAGGAGCCGGTGCGCGACCAGCTAAGCACTTCCTTGGAGTTAAATTTCAAAACACTTTTCAAATCAGCTCCCCACCGACTTCCCTGGGCAGTGAAGCGAGGTGAACACCTCTCGGCAGTCCCAGCCTCTTATCTGTTGATAAGGAAGCCACTAGCTAAGACCCTCCTAACCCCACTCCGAACATCAGACACACACCACCAAGCTCCACTTGGCAAACTGTTATCTGGCCTGACAAGCAGTCTTTAGACATCTCAACTTTAGGGGGCTCGGCCCCAACCAATTCCATATCTCAAAGGCCTTGAAGGAGCAGGTCTCAAGGCAGGTCAAGTGCGTACTCTCTCGCCTCTCACGCAGCCCCCGCTCTGCCAGGAACTTGGCGCACCTGGCAGCGCTCAGAGCCCGCAGCAAGAGCCTATAAGGTCGCGCACGGGCGCCCAAGACCTGAACTGCTTACCCTCACGTGGTTCTCCACGGCCGCGCGCCCAGCCAGCTTCTTGGCCTCCTCGGCCTTTGACATCGCGGAAGGGCCCGGACAGACGCTGTTAGCCTCCCTGGCTCCGGTACTTGTGCTGCCAGCGCCGAACTGCGAGCGTCCCGGCAACTGCACGTGGGAACCCGGAACGCCCCAGCTGTTCCCGCCTCCGCCAGAGGCCGCGCCCCCGGCCCGCCCGGGCAGCGGGGCCAGGACCCGCCCGTAGAGGGTGCTGAAGGGCCCGGGGCGCTGCATCCCGCCGCCTCGCTCCAGCCTCTGCCACGGTCCCGCCCCGCGGCTCCGCCGGAAGTATTGAATCCCACGTACGAGGTCCGTGTCCGCTGCGGCGCGGTACTTGCTGGGAAATGTAGTTCTAGATCTTCAGTGACCGGAAGCCGCGCCCCAGTCTGGACCACCAGCCCCACAATGCTCCGCGACCGGGTGCGCAAATCGAAGACGAACTTTGGTGTGACGGCTGGTACAGAGCAAGCAGCCCCGGATGGATCGAGGCTAGAGTGATTTCTGTTTGCACCCGCGTCTGAGAAGGGCGTGTTGGATCTAATCCTGTTGGATTTTCTAGAGTTAAGAACGTGGCTGCGTACGAGGCCTCAGGGCAGTCGCTGATATGGAAATGTCCTTTGGGGAGTGACTTCTCTAGACGGACTCCACGGGGAAACGCACCTGCTGACGGCGGCTCACGCTTTAGTCCACCTTTACACCTCCTTCCACAGGAGCAGGGCTACAAATTTAGAACCCCCAGCCTTAGATGTTGTTCTGCCCTGCTCTGCATTGGATGGCGCGGTTTCCTCCAGATGGAGCTCGACTCGACGCCTATGTGTGACCTATAGAAATTATTGACTCAAAAAGGACTGTCGTTGAACTAAACAACTCTCTCTTTTCTTCCTTGCCTATAAAGTGTCTTCCTGTGCGTGTCAACTGAAAAAAAGTACAATGTAAGAAAAGTGAGTTTCAGTTTTATTCTGCCAACTTTCTAGGGACTATAGCTGGGGAAATAACATTTCAGCTCTGTGGAACTATTCCAAAAAGATAAGGGAGGAGCCAGTACATACGTGTCTTTTTGGTCTTGGAAATGTATTCAAGCCTTGTTCACAACGGCGTCAGGCTCTGCGACCCCATGAACTGCAGCCTGCCAGGATTTCCTGTTCTTCACCATCTCCCGGAATTGGCTCAAACTCATATCCCTCCAGTCAGTGATGCCATCCAGTCATCTCCTCTTCTGTCCCCCTCCTTCTCCTCCTGCCCTCAATCTTTCCCAGCATCAGGGTCTTTTCCAATGAGTTGGCTCTTCATATTCAGGTGTCCAAAGTATTGGAGCTTCAGCTTCAGCATCAGTCCTGCCAATGAATATTCAGGGTTGGTTTCCTTTGGGATGGACTGGTTTGATCTCCTTGCTGTCCAGAGGACTCTCAGGAGTCTTCTCCAGCCCCATAGTTCAAAAGCATCAATTCTTCTGCACACAGCCTTCTTTATGGTCCAACTCTCACATGAAAAACCATAGCTTTGACTATACAGATCTTTGTCAGCAAAGTGATGTCTCTGCTTTTTAATATGCTGTCTAGGTTTGTCATATCCTCAAAGGAGCAAACGTCTTTTAATATGGCTGCAGTCAGCATCTGCAATGATTTTGGAGCCCAAGAAAAGAAAATCTGTCACTGTTTTCATTGTTTCTCCATCTATTTGTCATGAAGTGATGGAACTGGATGCCATGATATTAGTTTATTGAATGTTGAGTTTTTGATACAGTCAAACATACATCTTGGTAAAATAAGACTGCTATTCACACACACACACACAAAGATTCTCAAGTTAATGATTTTCGTTCTTTCCCAAGTACGGAAAGATGCAAGAATCTAGAGTCATTAAAATTCTTCCTTAGATACACATCTTAACTATCTAGGAGCCTTGTATCCATAATACTAAATGCTTCATCCTTTTTACTCCATCCTGAATCACCCACAGAGAGCACTATTGGGGAAGGGTTGAGTATAGCTGGATGATGAGTGAAACTCTTTGTCCTTTTTTACAGAGGGAATAGTTAGGGTCAGAGGATGGTTGTGTACATGTGTGCTAAGTCGCTTCAGTATTGTTCCACTCTTTTGTAACCCCATGGACTGTAGCCCTACAGGCTCCTCTGTCCATGGGATATCCCAGGCAAGAATACTGGAGTTGGTGCCATTTCCCCCTTCAGGGGATGTTTCCGACCCAGGGATCTAACCTGAATCTCCTACACTGCAGGTGGATTCTTTACCACTGAGCCACCTGGGAAGCTCAAGCAATTTTTAAAAACAAATCTGATCATGTAATCCCTGTTTACATCTTGATGGCACCCCATCATTTTCATGATGAGTTCTAAACATCTTAACAGGCATGCGGGGCTTCCCAGGAGCTGACCCTGACCTTTCCCTGGGCATCCTCCTCCCTCATAAGCACCAATCACAGCCAGCAACAGTTTCCCAGTGTACCTTGTTTTGTCATGTCTTCATGCCCTTGCTAGAGCTGGTGCCTCACCCTGGAATGTCCTCCATGCATCCTTCCGCAGCCCCGGCCCCCAACTTCATCTTCATCTGGCTAATGCCTCTTCATTCTCTAAGACCTGACTAGGGCCTCACTTCCTGAATAAACTTATCACAGTACTTTTCATGCTGATATACATCTATTTTCCCACTAGAGGGCAATCTCCTTGATTCAGAGCCTGGAGCCTGTCTGTGTCCACAGGGCTTTACACTAGTACCAGGTAGGTGCTCAGTATGTGGTCGTTAGATGGCTGAACAGATAGATGGATTGGGTGGTGCATGGACAAAATGAACATGTCAAGATTATCGTACAAACCAGAAATTGTTTAATGGTTTACAGTGTATCAAAATATGATTTAACATAGACAACATATCTGATTGAATTCATTTCATATATAAATAGTATGATGGAATGGAAAGAATAAAGAGTTCGATTAAAACACACTACTATATATAAAGTAGATAAACAACAAGGACCTACTAATGAGCAGCCATGTTTAAAAACAACTGGACTATATGATAATCTTTTATCTAGTTTGTTTCACTTTTTCTACTTCATATTCAGTGTTCCCATTTCATTTATGCTTTCCAATTTCTCCATCTCTTTTTTTTTTGTTTGTTTGTTTTTTGATGTTCTTTCTCAAGCCTTTATCAAGAGTAGTAGAAAAGCTTTTGTATACATATATATAAATCATTTAATTCAGTTCAGTTCAGTTCAGTTGCTCAGTCGTGTCTGACTCTGCAACTCCATGGATTGCAGCACACCAGGCCTCCCTGTCCATCACCAACTCCTGGAGTTTACCCAAACTCATGTCCATTGAGTCGGTGATGCCATCCAACCATCTCATCCTCTGTCGTCCCCTTCTCCTGCCCTCAATCTTTCCCAGCATCAGGGTCTTTTCAAATGAGTCAGCTCTTCACGTCAGGTGGCCAAAGTATTGGAGTTTCAGCTTCAACATCAGTCCTTCCAATGAACACCCAGGACTGATTTCCTTTAGGATGGACTAGTTGAATCTCCTTACAGTCCAAGGGACTCTCAAGAGTCTTCTCCAACACCACAGTTCAAAAGCATCAATTCTTCAGTGCTCAGCTTTCTTTATAGTTCAACTCTCACTTCCATACATGACTACTGGAAAACCCTGGCCTTGACTAGACGGACCTTTGTTGACGAAGTAATGTCTCTGCTTTTTAATATGCTGTCTAGGTTGGTCATAACTTTCCTTCCAAAGAGTAATCATCTTTTAATTTCATGGCTGAAATCACCATCTTCAGTGATGTGGAGCCCCAAAAAATAAAGTCTAACTCTGTTTCCACTGTTTCCCCATCTATTTGCTATGAACTGATGGGACTGGATGCCATGATCTTGGTTTTCTAAATGTTGAGCTTTAAGCCAACTTTTTCACTCTCCTCTTTCACGCTCATCAAGAGGCTCTTTAGTTCTTCTTCACTTTCTGCCATTAGGGTGGTGTCATCTACATATCTGAGGTTATTGATATTTCTCCTGGAAATCTTGATTTCAGCTTGTGCATCATCCAGCCCAGTATTTCTCATGATATACTCGGCATATAAGTTAAGTAAGCAGGGTGACAATATACAGCCTTGATGTACTCCTTTTCCTATTTGGAACCAGTCTGATGTTCCATGTTCAGTTCTAATTGTTGCTTCCTGATCTGCATACAGGTTTCTCAAGAAGCAGGTCAGGTGTTCTGGTATTCCCATCTCTTTCAGAATTTTCCACAGTTTATTATGATCCACACAAAGGCTTTGGCATAGTCAATAAAGCAGAAATAGATGTTTTTCTGGAACTCCCTTGCTTTTTTGATGATCCAGCAGATGTTGGCAATTTGATCTCTGGTTCCTCTGCCTTTTCCTAAACCAACTTGAACATCTGGAAGTTCACAGTTCACATGTTGCTGAAGCCTGACTTGGAGAATTTTGAACACTACTAGCATGTGAGATGAGTGCAATTGTGTGGTAGTTTGAGCATTCTTTGGCATTTCCTTTCTTTGGGACTGGAATGAAAACTGACCTTTTCCAGTCCTGTGTCCGCTGCTGAGTTTTCCAAATTTGCTGACATATTGAGTGCAGCACTTTCATAGCATCATCTTTTAGGATTTGAAATAGCTCAACTGGAATTCCATCACCTCCACTAGCTTTGTTTGTAGTGATGCTTCCTAAGGCCCATTTGACTTCATATTCCAGGATGTCTGGCTCTAGGTGAGTAATCACACCATTGTGATTATCTGGGTCATGAAGATCTTTTTTGTACAGTTCTTCTGTGTATTCTTGCCACCTCTTCTTAATATCTTCTACATCTGTTAAGTCCATACCATTTCTGCCCTTTATTGAGCCCATCTTTGAATGAAATATTACCTTGGTATCTCTAATTTTCTTGAAGAGATCTCTAGTCTTTCCCATTTTATTGTTTTCCTCTATTTCTTTGATTGATCACTGAGGAAAACTTTCTTATTTCTCCTTGCTACTCCTTGGAACTCTGCATCCAAATGGGAATATCTTTCCTTTTCTCCTTTGCTTTTGACTTCTCTTCTTTTCACAGCTATTTGTAAGACCTCCTCAGACAGCCATTTTGCTTTTTTGCATTTCTTTTTCTTGGGGATGGTCTTGATCCCTGTCTCATATACAATGTCACGAATCTCTTTCCATAGTTCATTAGGGACTCTGTCTATCAGATCTAGTCCCTTAAATCTATTTCTCACTTCC